AGGGCAGTTGGTTGTGGAAACATGCGCTCTCTTCAGCTCCACAAAGAGTCCTTTGGACAGCCTGAGGAATGCTGAGCTCAGCTTCAGTTAATTCTGCTGAAATGTGCAACAGTAACACTCTTCTGAGATTAAACATGCATGAACGCTGTGGACGTTTGCCCAAATTAGTTTTTTGACAGCCTCAAAAAATGTCTGCCCCCGTCGACTGCTTCCCGTCAGTAATTTACTGAAAATCCACTTGAGATGAGTCTAAAAAAATTGCAAACTCCAACTGCATTAAAGGTCTTCTTCTCCCCCTATAAGTTTGTCCTCGAATTAAGGCTTTCTGTGGATGTATTCGGACGAGCGGAGGAATTTATCTAAAATTTTCCATGTTAAGGTCAATACTGCTAAGGCCTCGTTTTATAAACCATTCTATTCAGAATGCCTACATTCACTTCTGCTTTTAGGCAAATTCCTGAACGCGTACAATGGCTGGTCAACAGACACAGACCTTTGAAGATGAATTGGCTCTGATTCGATGCCTTCCAGAAATAAATAATTTTCGCAACAAACGCACACTCACCGACCTTTCCATTGAGGTATGTAACCAGCGAGATTCCTTCATGCTCTTCTTCGATTTGCAGCTACAAGGGAATGTCTTGCTGCATGTGCACAAGGTTATTATAGCCGCCAGAATAGTCTCGCTGCGTAATTCCTTGAGTGGAATGCCCAGAAAAAGCAATGCTCTCATTAAGTGGCCGACAATCTCTCCTGAGTAATAGCCATTTTAATATTATGATTGTCATTTAGAGTCGCTAAACCTCTAATTGAATATGTTTATACGGGACAGCTGAAGGTTGATGAAACTCATGCGGCCGGTCTGGTGCTACTCTCTAAACAACTTTCACTGCCCCACGTGGAAGTTTGGGTAGTGAGTTTTTTGGCTGCAGGGTAAGTTTTTTAGCACTCTAATTAAATTTCAGGATAAATGCTGGCAATATTGTAAATAACTGGAATTTTGCACGAACGCTGCAGAACGACCAGTTACTGAATGCCTGCGTCGAGCACATCAAGGAAACATTTGAGACCACAATCACAAGTGACTTTTTCCTACAACTGCCAGCAGACAGCGTCTTGTCCATATTACGGGCAGATGACCTTAAAGTGGCCAATGAAGAGCGAGTTTTCGAAGCGATTTGCCTGTGGGTCAGTCCACGTGGCGAAGTTGACAAAACTCGAGTAGTCCATGCAGCAGAAATGATGAAAGAAGTACGATGGAATCGAGTAAACCCCGACTTTCGGTACAAACTACTTGAGAATGAGGGCTTTTGGAATGCAAATGTCGAGTGTTTGTAAGTTTTGTAAACACTCTTGACTTCTCGATTTCGCAGACGACTTCTAGGTCGTATATCTGGCTGGTTCGAAGGTCCTTCTTTAAGAACGGGTAGACAGTGTCCATTTAATGATAATCCGAGAAGTGCATTTGGTGACATCTGTCTTGTTGGTACATCGGCAACCAGTGATCAATCGGTGTTGATCCAGTACGACGTCGATACAAGCACCTCGGAGCAGCTGGAAATATTAAGCAACCGAAGCCGTGCGGCCTTTGTCGCGATTGAGGGTGAGTTTCAAGCAGTCAGCTGTTTAACGGCTTTATGAATTCTTTTTAAATTGTTCGCTTCGACGTTGTTTTCGCCCAGTTTGTGCAGTCAGATGGGTTGTACGCAAAACCAAATTATCACAGTTAATATATGACTGTGTCATAGGCCGAATATATTTTTCGTTGTAGCATTTTCCAATCGAGATCTTATCATGTTACCGTACTCAGTATTTACTATATTTTTTATCTTGGAGCGTAGAAACCAACCGAAGGTCACTAGCTCTGGTCTAGTTTGCGTTCACCACTTATATATATTCATAGAGGGATGACATTTTACGCAAGACGAGTATGAGCTGTAATTACATCGTTGGCAGTACCCCGCTGACTGAATCTAGGCTTCCGAATCACAGTTAATTTATCGTCCGTTTCTTTTTCCGGTTATCATGAGCTTTGGTTTGTATGCGGTACTGGCATTTGAACAGCGGCTGTCCTCTCGTCCGTTCTCGCAAACTGCTATCGGATGCTCACATTAAGACCGAATGCGTTTTCGGCTCACCATTTTGTCTGAAAAATCCTTTGGAAATGGCTAACGTTTCCCCCGACTGCGTACTGTCAAAATCTGTAAAATTAGTTCTAAGATTTAGCTTCTTTAGATGGATAAACCAGTCGTATTTAAAGTCTGCTTCCTTAGCCGTAGTTAATCATATTTCTTGCTCTGCAGTTTCGGTAAATATGTCAATTAATTGTACGCATGCGTATTAGTGAAGAGCCGGTGTTTTTTTACTACCTACACTATTGAGAAGGGAACTGGTGGACGCATGTTTGATGTCTAAAGTTCGTACACGTTGACGCATATCTCATCTCGTTGTCACCTTGATCAGGTGGAAGAACTAGTATTCTGACTGCAAAGGAGGAAACAAAACACTTAAGCGAAGTATTTTATCTATTCTCACTTCCATATACGGCCAGGTCTAGACTCCTTATATCGTCTGGTCAAAGTATTTAATCAATGCTTTTAATTGAATTTCCTCACATTTCCCCTTTTGCTTCCTTTTTACCAAATTAGATTGCCTATTTGCAATTGGAATAAATGCGCAAGACGGCAGCTATACCAAAATGGAGGTGTTAGATACAAAAGAACTACGATGGAGCGAACGGGCATCGCTCTCCAAGGGACGGCAGTACCATGCGGCAGTCAGCATTCCAGTGGGCGGAGAGTATGTCATAGGCGTCTTTGGAGGATACGACAATTATAACGGATGCAGCTACCTAAGAAGCTGTGAACTCTATTCGCAGCAGAAAAACAGG